CCCATGGTTGGTCTAGTGGATACATGACACAGATCAGCCTATCGAGTTTGGAATGTAAAGACTTGGTAGCAAAATCATTTTAATGACACTATATTAGAAAATCATATCTATTAAGTCCCACAATTGAGTTCTGCACAAATATCTTAATTTCTATTCTTCTCAAAGTTTAGTTTTTCAGATCACCCTTGGATTAAATAAGATGCTCCAATAGTTAGCCAATGTGTCCTTTGCTTGATCTACAAGTTGATTTGTTAGATACAGAAAATAAAATAATAAAAACTCTTGACTCAGATGTATTCTCCTAATATTGCCATCAGAGTGATCTACTAAAGAATAGTATTTCTCATGCAAGGCTTTACTTTGGATATGCTTGGACAACTTTTTTCAAAATTTATATTTCTTGATTCTGTCTTCAGAGATTATGATACAGTAAGTGAACATTGAGACACCATTATTCTAACGTGCACAACCTGAAATATAATTCCGATCCTGTCACCCATTGCTTATGGCTTATTTCAGTAATGGCCACAAATCTTTGTAGCCCTTATTTTTAAGAGATGGATCTTCCTCCTCACTGCCTAAGCTTCTCTGACATTGGAACTTGCTCTGACCAATAGATGACAGTGTGCTAATTCTGAACTGAAGATTCGAGAGGTCTCACAACATTCATCCTCACTGTTCTTAGAAGCCTGCCAGCACCATGAAAATGAGTTAGACTGGTGTGCTAGGTAATTGGCTTCATGCCCCATCTTCCCAGCCAACCAACCACCAAAAGCAGAGCTGCTTGGTAGACCAGCTGTTAAGGCAGACATAAATAAGCTCTTCTGAGACTAGATAAAGAACATACAAAACTGAACTCAGATCAAATTGCTAACTTGCAGAATCTGTCTAACAGAAAGCAAACAAAAAATGGTGGTTGTTTTAAGACACTAAAGATTACTGGTATTTTATTACATAGCAGTTATTAAATAGCAATAATTATACTACTTAAAACTATTCAGTTTTGTCATGATATACAGTGATAAAAGTGTAAGCTCTTTAACATAAAGACCTGTCATTTATTTTTCTCTTTAACTCCATTGCTCAATATTGCCTGGTGATTATTTCATTCCCTAGTAATATCAGACTGCTTGTAATATGGAATGATATTTATACAAGATGTTGTTTAACTAACTTTAAATCTTTAATTAACTTTCCTTCCAACATTAAATGGCTAAATCTTACACATTATTTTAGATTTATTGCTATTTTCTTTAAAATGCCCTCTTTGAAACATGAAATTAGATTACACACCCATTGTCAGTCCTTACATATCATCCTTGGTCTATTTCTATATGAATACCTACTGTATTATATTATAATTATTTCTATGGGTTATTATTTTTAAGAACAGGAGGCATATTTGTTCACCTTTGAGCTTGCCACAAAGTGAATTATGATAAATATTTTTAGTGAATTTGACAATCTATAATCTAAGGTTGGCAGACTTAAGAAAATCAGAGAAATACATTTTACACTTATTAGATCTATTATAGTCCAGTCATAGGAAATTGGCATTATACTTTTAGTGATGTATGACAAGTTCAGCCATATAAAAATACAATAAATTTGTAAGAAAATGTAGTATACAGCAATGGAAGGGGATGGGAGCAGTATGGAAGGACAGTAAAAAGAGAATGAATGAGGGAAAAAAAATGTGGAGAAAGGAAAGATGCAAACCATGGACATATTTGTTGAGTGTATATAGATGCCAAAAATCATGTTCCTAGAATAAATTCCACTTTCCCTAAGTCATTCCTTATTACAATCAATTTGCATCCTGAGACTCAGTAAGGCTACATTAGAAATGACAAGAAAATGAACTACATTTTAGTTTATTCTATGAATTAGGTGAAAAAAATTAAACCATTATTGAAATTACTGAATTTCTATTTCAATCATTTGAAAACACTGATATAAAACTGGCACAGTTTAACTGTTTATGAATTTCTTCAACTGCTAATGGAGCCAATATATTAACAACTAATGCTTCAATTTTTATACATGCCCAGGAAGGCTTGTGCCTGAAAATTAGTGAAATAATGTAGAACAGCCATTCCTTCTAAATGAAAAATTTTAGTTCACAGAATGATATGTAAATGCACCTTCTTCTGTTCTTCCTAGTAATCAAATATTTGGGCACAGTTTCTTGAAATAAGAACTAAATTTTGAAGTTGACACTGATGCATCTTCAGCAGTTTTGTATCTTTTGTTCTTTATGCGGTAGGAGATAAAACAATGGCTCTCATCGTAAATATTGCTATATATTTAGATATGGTACAGATTTATCATAATCTTCTGAGAAATGTAAATGTATTGCCTTGATGTTTTTTAGCTCATTATTGAAAAGGTTTAGTGAAAAATAAAATGGCATTTTCAATACAAAATTTACTATATTTATGCATTACAATACATGGCACAACCATATGTAGCATGAATATTCAAGCAGCTCTCTATATGGTATATGGCAGGACTACTTAGCTTCATTTTCCTTCACATATTTCACATGTACATACTCTGTTCTTTCTGACAACCTGTCAGCTTAGTGTATCTCATGGGTCAAGTTATGTTAAGGCATAACCAGTTAGTATACCAGGAAGTTGGCAGGAGCAGCAATGCTGAATACTTGTCTACCATACTGGAGTCCTAAAGGACTTCATGCTCCCTAGTTACATGAGTCTCAGGAAACTTCATACAGATCTTACATGTTATCCTTGAATGTAAGTTACACTTAATCTAAAAAGGGTGAAAAAAGACAAACTCTTCATTGATGAAAATTGTTCTGCCACATGTAAAGTATTATATTTCCTGCTTATTTATTATACACACAGAAAGAACATGGAAACCATTGAAAAAAATTAGAAGTATACTAAATTTTTGGCTTAATTTACTATTGCTGCTATTACTACTACTACTACTACCACTGCTACTACTAATAAAAAATGATAAGTCTGGAATAGAAACTAAACCAAGACACATTGGTACAAGAGCTCTGTGACAGGGCTTCTCCAGGTATATTGTTATGTATGATCATGGTGCATGTGAGTTAAAACACTTTTAATAATCAGTTTCTAACAATAATATTCGTAAAAGAGATGAATGGTTTGAAGTATAAAATTCACTTATTTATCTTTGAAATATATTTCTTGTATACTCTATCAGAAATTCTGAATGTATATACTTCCCTAGAAAAGAGAATTTAAATAAACTCAGTGGCACTAAATTACTTTAAGAGTAAATAGTCATTCACTCTCTAGGGCTGAAATATGGACAAAACATCAAACCAGTAGAAGGACTAATATGATTAGTAATCTCATAAATATATGGTACTATAAATCTGCAGTTCTATCAAGATATAATAAATGCTCATCATTAAAATAATGTTTTATCAATAATTCACATATAATTTTTTTACTCAGTTGCTAAAAGTAAAAAAGAATAGAGTAAGCTACAAAACCTTGTATTCTTCAAGGGGTAAGAATTTTATATTTGTGTATTTGCTAGGTATTCACCATCAAAAAGGGCAAGAAGTTTTATGTTTATTGTAAACTGCAATATATTATATGGCTAAACTCTCTAAATTTGTACTGTTGTCAAAATGAAAATAGTTACCTAAAGGTATTAGTATATTTGTGAAAAAATATCATTGAGATTTAATATCCGCATTTTTAAATTTACATTTATTGATTTTGCATCAGAATGTTGGATATGATGGCAAGCATGGTAAATAAGAGAATGTTGTGTCAATGTGTATGTTTAATGTGTGTGTGCATTTGTTTTCATCCTACATGTTAAATGTGTACCTGTGGTTATACGGATGTGTTATTGAATAAAAATTTTGACTAAATATAATGCCTGATAAATTACTTTCTTTAGATATAGCTGTCAGTTCTCATGGCTCATAGATACTATTGTTGAAATAATTTTTAAGAAAGCATTTCTTTTATTTTTTTAGACAGAGTCTCACTCTGTTGTCCCTGCTAGAGTGCTGTGGCATCAGCCTAGCTCACAGCAACCTCAAACTCCTGGGCTCAAGCAATCCTGCCTCAGCCTCCCGAGTAGCTGGGACTACAGGCATGTGCCACCATGCCCGGCTAATTTTTTTTCTATATATTTTTAGTTGGCCAATTAATTTCTTTCTATATTTTAGTAGAGATGGGGGTCTTGATCTTGCTCAGGCTGGTTTTGAACTCCTGACCTTGAGCAATCCTCCTGCCTCGGCCTCCCAGAGTTGTAGGATTACAGGCGTGAGCCACCACGCCCAACCAACAGGCATTTCTTGTAATATCATAATATGGACAAACTAAAAGAAATGTGATTTTCCCTCACATTGGAAATCATCTCATACTTTAATTTTGTGAAATTATATTTTCTTCTTTAAATCCTATCAATAAGATATGCTCATATTAAATTGACATTGTTGCAATATTAACATATTTAATATAAATAATAACAATCATTTCACAATTACTTTTCCAAGACTTAGTTTTCTATTATATTTTTCTATAAAATCATAGATAATAATTTTTCATTTTAAAAATACAACCAACTTTGAGACACATTTAACATTTTTTTCAAAAATGAATTAATTCAAGTAAGAAGTATAGTATAGTTGATTGGGCAAAGATTTCAAAACAAAAAAAAATATTGTCTAGCTTTATAGCGTCCATTATTCTTTGTCTCTGTTTTTTCATATGAAAAACAGAATAATAATACCTACCTTTTAATGTTGGTGATTTTGCTAAAAGATAATAATAGTGTGCATAAAATTTCACATACAGCTACTAGTGAAGAAGGTAATAAATCATTTAAATTCTCTTATAAGGCACAGAGAAATCTTAGTTGAGCAATGAAAAAACTCAAGGCACCCCAAAGTATTTATTATGTTTCTTATAATATAGACTGAGATACTATGACCAAGAACTCCCAAACTACAGTACCTTTAACAAGAGAAAGCTTACAGTCAGTGATCCAGGGCTGGTAGACATCCCATGAGGTCATCCAGGGAACAGCGCCTTCTATGTTGACAGTAATTCCTCATCTCTGAGAGGTTATCCTCTACCACATGGTTGTAGCTGACTCAGTAGTACTACATCTGCATTCCTTTTACTGGTGGAGGAAGTAAAGGCTTTAGAGTGCAAATTCGTTCCTTTTTAAGATTGTAATCTGGAAACTGAAGGTATTATTTCTACTTCTATCCCAATAGCTGGAGCTTAATCACATTATACCTAGCTATAAGAAAAGCTTCGATAAATAATTTCTAACCAGACAAGCATGTACCAAGGTAATAGACTCTGTTACTAAAATGAACGAGGGGAAATTGGATACAGAAGGATGATTTGAAATATCAGTAAAAATGATTATTTCATAGTGATGTTCACTCTAGGTTAAATGTTGTAAGTAAGATTCCAGAGCTCTCTGTTAGAATACTATTGGAGAAAAGGGCATATGTTGATTAATAGACAATTACTACTCCTGGCTAAGGCATGTATTCACATTAATTCACTCTAAGTATATATTTTTTATAGGCTGCTGTCCAAGCCTTGTGCCAAGTTATTGGTATTCAAGAGTAATCATATATAATCCGTGTTTTTGAGTGGTAACTTTGCATAGCTCAACTTCTTTTGTGGAAGCCATGCATGGAACAAGTACTGTAATTATAATATAAATCCATAAGTGCTTTAGGGAACGTGGGTGAAAAGAAGAGGGATGGAGTGGAGAAAACTTCACAATAGGGTAGATATTTGGACCAAATCTCAAATCACAGTATTATCAAGTGTTCTTTAGGAGGAAATGTAGAAGGAAGACATTCTAAAAAAAGGAAGTAGAAATATCTAAAGGCACAATTGTATAAAACAGCAGGATAGTTTTTAGAACACTTATTGCATTGGCTATGTTTGAAATAAGAAATATAACCAAGTGGTAAATGTAGCTGGAATGTAAATATGAAGGGCTGAAGCTATTACTCTAAGATATTTAGATTTGATCTAGACCTCTAAATCTATGGGATGCTTTTTAAACAGAGCTGCTATATAATTCAATCTTCAATTTAGAAATAAAATTCTGATAGTATGGAAGATAAGTTGATTAGAAAAAAAAAATAGAGAACACTCCAGGAGACTAAAAAGTCATGATAATAATCCCAGGTTAGAGATGATGATAGTCTCAGCAGAGTGATGAGGAGAAAAATTATTAAAGAGGCATTTTACAAACTAAAATTTAGGAACTAGTTGGATTCAGTGTTGGGAAGTTGGGGGTTTTCATAATTGAATATTACCTAAAATTTTGACCTTTGCTATGTGATAGATGGATGTCTTTGCCTAGGATCAAAAAAGGAAAGAAGGACGGGGAAAGTCAAAACTCTACCCAAGGTTTTCATACACTATATCATAATGAAGATTAAAAGGCACTATTTAAGCTAGCAAATAATTCTATTTTTATAATTAAACTGTAGCTCTAGCTTTAACTCATAAAAGCATAAGGAGTTCTCTCTGTTTTCCAATGTAACATGCCCTCACAGGCATGCAAATAATAAATAAGACTAGCATGCTATCATATGTAAGGGGTAGGGAGGGAGTAGATAGGTTTCCACGTTTTAGTGAGGTGGGTTTAGGTGAATTAAGGCCTATGGTCTTTATTCAGGAAGACTGAGAGTAAGAGTTATATAAGGAACATTTGCCAAGTCCTATTAGACATTACTGGAGAGTAAAGAATAGCACTCATATCTTTAAAAAAGAGCATTTTCTTTGTTTATCTGAATGTACTTTGGAGTATCCCAGTGCATTAACCGTAGCTGTAAATCTCTGGGATGAGAGAAAATTTGTTTACATTTTCTAGCTAAATGCATTCCTGGGCACCCAGATAATTTCCAATAAATGATGCCCAAAGAAAAGAAAAGTGGAGAGAGGGAGAAAATTAGAATTAAAAGCAGTGAGGAAGGGCAGGAGAAAGGATAGAAAGAACTGATAGGGGGAGAGAAGATGGATGGAAGTTTTAATTTGGACAGGATAGCCAATAGTAATGAAGAATAATTGTTAAACAGGGTACTTTCACTCGACTTCATTTGCTCATACATCATTTTAAGCTACACTTTTGTATATGGCTCCATTTGAACATCTATTTTCACTCAGTAATTTTTGAAGAGTAAGCTTAATTTAATATATTTTGAAAACATTCACTTATTAATGTCTTCAAATCTTATTAATGTGTTTTATTACACTGCAGAATTTCACATTTAAATCCTTCTATATAAGAAATGCAAAAAGTAATCATCTATTTCAATTATCTCCTTAGGATATATTTGTTAAATAGAGAAATACAGCAAATTTTCTTTTGGGATTTGGTTAAGCTGAATTGAAACAAAGTTAAATAATGTCATTATGGCATTTCCATTCTAGCTAATTCTCACTGTTAAGGAAAAGCATAGCCTTCATTGACTTCAGGCAGATAATTTTGACTAAATTTTCTCTATACTGAAATTGAAAGCTCCTGAAAGGCAAAGTGGCAGAGTGAGTCAGGCTATCATCCACTATCAGATTTGGACCCCCAGAATCTCCTCGGCGAGTTTATCCTAGCCACCCACGATCACATCATATCACACTGACAAGGTTCACTTAGGTCTGTCTTAAGAAAGGCATCCAAATAGAATAGCAGTTTGTGATTGAAGAGCATTAAAGGGAAAAGGTGTGATCATGACATGAAGTTTGCTCTGCTTCACCTCAGAAGTCTGAAAATGGGGAAAAAAGAAGATAGCTTTAATTTGCTGGAAGAAACCAACACCTGTATTTTGAGTATATGTCACACCGTGAAAGATTAAAGTTCTTGTTTTAGCTTTTGCTCTAATAAATTATAGCACACAAAACTCTGCCTTTTATTTTTTGCCACTGCTTTTAAAGTTTTCTAAGATGATAGCGCTAACAAAAGGTATCTATTAAAAGTGCAAATAGCTTTGCCTCACGTGAACAGTCTTGTTTGGAATCAATTTCTTTTGATGGAATTCAAAGGGAATATTTGCCTTTAATAGGAATGCTATATATCTGTTTTCAGTGCAGAAGCTATTTTTCTCTTAGAAGAAGAACAATAATCTGTAGTATAAAAAATTGGAATTGAAAACTTACTGCTCTATGTAAAGGAGATTGCAAAGTTTCCTTTTTATAAGAAATTTAGAAAGCATTTTAAAACTAATTTCATTAATTATACTGCTAAAAATGAGTATATTTCATTAAATATACTGTGATTATTTCATTAAATATACTATATGAGTATATTTAATGAAACTAAGTTGCATTAGTTCAAGCAACTTAGTGATATTCATTATGATAGAGTACATTCATCTTGCCTATTCTTAGATCATAAGCAGTGTTTTCAAGATAGAAAAATCACTTGTTACTTGTCTCAAATATTTACAGACATATAACGTTATATATAATTCATCTGTGTGTATATATATGTGCGTGTATATATGTGCATGTCTAATATGTATATGTATGTATATTACATGATAAATACAGCAGTCCCCCCAATCCACAGTTTCACTTTCCTCAGTTTCAGTTATCCAAAGGCAACCACAGTCTGAAAATATCCCATACAATGAGACATTTAGAGACAGAGATACACACAGAAAGAGAGTGAGAGGAGAGAGAACATTCACATAACTGTCATTATAATATATTGTTATAATTATTCTATTGTATTACTAGTTGTTAAATCTCTTGCTGTGCCTAATTTATAAAATAACTTTATCATAGGTATATATATATATATATATATATATATATATATATTTAAAACATAGGATATATAGGGTCTACTACTGTCTGTGGTTTCAAGTATCCACTTGGGATCTTGTTATATATCCCCCTTGGATAAGGGGAGACTACTATTTCACATTACCATATATATATAAAATATGGTATATGTATATGTATAGTACAATATAGTATACATAGCTAAGGTCATATTTCCTAAGGCTTCCTTGATATTCTTTCTCTAAGCTAAGGATCTCTCCTATCACTCTCCTTGTATCTCTTGATCACAGCCACTATGGCCTTATAGGACCTTTGGCAATTTTACATGTACTAGCTTTATGAGATAACGCTTGATCTTCTTTACCTTTGTGGCTCCAAAACCACTCAGTGCTTTGCTGTTAACTTGGTCCTAAGTGACAGTTTTTTAAAATATATAAATATATAAAAATGAATGAATGGAGAAATGTAGGGTTTGAATAGGGCTCTCTGTGTGTGTGCCTAGTGAAACATATTGTTATGCCACTTATACTAAACTATATAGATATATAAACAAATAAATTTAAGTATAAAACAGTTAATATTGGCTTATTAGAATGGCTACAACTAGACTAAAATCTTTTATAAGTTATTTTTAGTTACTGAGTTTTAAAAAATCCATAAGGCTTATAAGAAATAGCATCTTTTTATGTTAAAGGTGGTCCATTTGCATATCACCCTAGTCTACAATCATATTCAAGCTATATCAAAAGGCTATCCTGTGATGAAATCAACTAAATATAAGAGCTAAAATTATTAAAATCTTAGAAGAACATGTAGAGCAAAATTTTCACAACATAGAATTGGACAATGACTTTTCAGATATGACAGCAAAGGCATAGATAATAAAGAAAAAAATAGACAAAGACTAAATTAAAATTAAAAATTTTTGTGTATCAAAAGACACTTTCAACAAAATGAAAATAGTCAACCCAAGGTATGGATAAAAATATTTGAAAATTATAAGGAATTCCCTATATATCCAGAATTTAGATATATTCTCATATATATATATATATATATATATATATGAACTTTTAAAACTGCAGAGAAAAAATCTGATTCAAAAATTGATAAAGGGGTTGAATAGACATTTCTTTAAAGAAGACATAGAAATGGTCAATAATCACATAAAATTATGTTAAATATCACTAATAATGAGGAAAATGTAAATCAAAACTGCAAGGAGATACCACCTCACATCCATCATGACAGCTTTTATAAAAAAAAAAAAAAAACTGAAAATAACACAGGTTGGCAAAGATGTAGAGAAATTGTAACCCTTCTGCATTGTTGGTGGAAATGTAAAATGGTGCAGTCACTGTG